CACATGCCTGAAACTGAATTTAGTTAAGTGGTACATGTATAGCAAAATTTTTCTGTAACACACGTTTGTTTCACAGGCAGATGTCTCCTACTACATGTACATCATCTATTCTAATTCAATGCCAAATATTATACAGGCTTCAGAGTCAACAACCTAACCACAAGACCACCTTGCCGGCATGACCTTGCATGTTGACAGTGCTCAGGAAGCTCCACTATTACGGAATTCTTAACCCACATTTCAAATTGACTTCACTGTTCCTCGGAATGCATCTTGCAGCATGCCAGGCATCCTTGGCAGTAGGATGGTCAGTGTCTTGTGTAATCCTTGTAACAGCTTTATGATCACCAAGGCGAGTGCTTGATACTGTGATAGTTTTCGACCAAACTTGCTAACATGCAGATTTTTCCCGTATCACAAATTCCTTCCACAGCATGAAAATAATTGAAGTTATAAAGAACCCAATGACAAGGAAATGGTCTCTATCTTATCCATGTGTCAGTTTATGAGATATATTTTGCTTTAATTTGTGCTTTAGTCACCAAAGTATGCACAATGTACAATGAAACTATAATTTACATTGCATTTCTTAAGGCCACTCCAATTCAGTTTGTTGGTTTTTGGATATCATACTAACTTTTGATATCAAAATAAAAACAGAGTAAGGGGAAATGCTATTCCTTGGTTTGTATTAATAGTTTCAGGGAGATTGTAAAATTCAAGTTTAATATCCTTTCAACACTTGCTTAACTTTTACTTGAAGAATCAAGAATCAAGGAAGTAAATTAGTGTGGCCTAAGAAAAATGTACATGTACATGTACACGTAGAAGGAAGTAGTAAATAATCAGTAGGTACATGATTATGTCCAGATCAGCTTACATTCCTACATTTTTGTCTGTCATGACCTTGCAACAACTTAAGATGCTTGGAATTTCATTTTCAAGGACCTATTTTAGTGATGACATCTTTAGTATTTTACATGTGCATGTAATGTGTGGTAGGGCTGTTGAATTTTAGGAAACATGCAATCTTGTCTTTGAATGGTTTCGTGTTTAAATTTTGGATTTCACCAGTTGGCATTATGAATTTCATATTTTGCGATATCAAAAATCTTGAATTTTGCATGATTGAATTCTTCCCTTTCTTCTTGTCAGGAAAAAAAGCATTAGGGCACTACAAGACCATAGTGAAGACTACCAGTACTGTATATGAAAGTGGCTGTTCTCCAAATGATGATGATGTTAACCTTCAATTCAACTCTCTGTAACTTCCAAGGTGAATGTTAGTGAGAGGAGCCAGGCCTTGGACAAAAATCTCTTTGATCATGATTTAAAAGCTGACTTCCAGTGAGGTGCCATTCTACACAGAATAGTGTTGCCACAGCCTGGCACGCCCCGCCCCCTGGCATGTCCATGAGCAAGCTCCATTACCTTTCTGAGAGACATTTTTGGGTCCCAAACAGACACTATCCAGCTTTTTTAACAACTTCCAATGGTAAATGATGACCTACATTGTAAGTACATGTACATGTACACCCAAACAAATGTAAAATTATATGTACGGTAATACAACTGATGTTGCAAAGTCAGTGATGAGGTTTGTTTTAGTTGTTTGTTTGTTAATAGCATACTTCAAGTTTGAGTATGGACCTCCTAGTGGCTTTCTATGGTCCTGCAGCAGAACGTCTGGTTTTCATATCCTCACATTAACTTATAAAATCCTGCTTCTGAATTGCATGTTAGACCATGTCAGGTAATCATTGTCCTCCGAGTTAAGTGTGAAGTGAGGTACATGGTATGCATGCCACCTGTACTTGTAAGGGTTACGCACTGCTGGAAATTACACTGCAAACTGTCAGTCCTTTCATTGAAAAGAGCCACACCTTGTATTCTTTTTTGGAGTCCATTACGCTGTACAAAAAAAATGGTAGGGGTGTGTCTGAAGTGTTAAGTTTATCAAAGTATCAGACCCACTGACTACAATAGGATTATTTTGTTGCATTTGGGTTTCAGGGGCTCTAAATAGTCAGCCTCTTCAAAGCCTTGGAGCTTATAATGTTACACTTCAACATAAACTCTCCCATATCAGCCATTAAGTGAGTGGAATAGTCTGTTACTTAGGTAAAGCACATCGCACAAAGTTTGCACATGAGTTTAGGTTGGGATTAGGGGACCAGGGTCACAAATTATGGGCACACTAGTAGATACCACTTGATACAGGTACATGTAGACACAGCTTCCTTTTTCCCAACTGCAAAAGAGGTCAGGTTTTTGGTTGCCTCCTTCTTGGACTGGCAGCATTTTTTTTTTGCATTTTTTTTTTCGGGAGGGGGGGGGTTCTAAATGTAAAAGCAGTCACATCGTAGAACAGATTTAATGTTTTAAGGTACATGTTGCTAGATTTCACTATTGAATAAGTACATGTAGCTTTAAATCAATCCAATTTCTTCTCTCAAACCTACATGTAGATGTAACAGACTAACTGATAAACAAACATACTTAATGTAGATCATCAAGTTTTCTTCCATTGACATACATTGTACAAGAGTACCCCTGGTCTAGCTGACAGATACATTGGATCCTCACACACAACTGGGACAGTACTTAAGACCATCTCTAATCTCTACAGGTGAGATGTCCTTGTTACTACAGGTAACAGGTGTACCCACTATGTCACCACCTGTTCAACAGGAAGCCAATTTCTTAGCTCGGTCCTTATTTTACATCCCCGTGGTCAAAGCACTTTGCTTTTTTTACAGTGGCCATGCTGCTAGGGCTGAATACCTCCCATTCTGTATATTGTCCACCAAGCAAACACACCCCAATCCCTCCCCAAACACTGACATTCTTTTGCAGTGAAAAGTTGCCAACTGTCCCAGCCTGAAGCGGAGAGCCAGCAGCCTGTGTATACAAAGGACTTGGGCAGATCTTGTTAAGAGGCATTCATGACGCTGTTGTCTGTAAGTTTTGTCCGCCAAAAGAACAACAAAGTGACCCGTGTTGATACAACGAAACTTTCAGCTTTCCAAAACTCGACCTGCTGACCTGCATGCTTGGGAATTGTCTAGGACATTGTGACCTTAGTCTTTTTCTTTATATCAAAGTCAATGATTCCAACGTCTGAAGGTGGTTGATGATACTCCTGCCATTGAGCTTGACTGTTATCAGATTTCTGACCAAGCAGTACAACAAGGGAACACACACAGTGATTTAAAGTGAACTGCAGCAATACATCTGTACAACAATGTCCTCACTACTGATAATGAACTTAGGAACACCAAAAGCTTGCAAGACAACATGACAGAATGTTTGTATTACAGTTTGCTTGGGGAATTGTATACCTGTATACATGTATGTACATGTACCTCAGTCTATTCTTTTTTAGTGGTCATACCAAAAAATAAAGGAACTCCTTACTCCTTCAAAGTTCGATTATGAAAAAGGTTGATGAAAATGTGGTAAGAAGTCTGTAAAGACTTGATATCAGATTATCATTTCCTCATCCAGTTCTGCTGCCCATAAATTGCATTGGATGTCTTCCATCTAAACAGTAACTCACACAGTCATATCCTCTCCTATTGGGCCCTGCACTTTCCAACACAGGTGAGAAGGTCAGGTACAAAACATGAAAGTGAGCAATTCTGCCCTTGTTGACGCACAAGAAACATGCCTGCCCCTCTGACAATGCCACGGCCCATTTCAGGGGACAAAATGTGTCCTATGGGGCCTGGAATGTTGGCATTTAGCTGACCCCTGGCCTGCTGTAGTAACTGAAGAACCTGTTCTTGATGCTAAGAGGTTTCTTTATCAAGCAGGTGTTTGTATAAATGGTTAATCCTGTGAGACTTAAGTAAGGTGTTCCACTTTAAGGTGACAAAGTATGTCTGGAGTGCTGTTCACAATATACATTTGCCACTGACTTCTGTAAGGTTGTATACATGTATATAATTTGTCTAAAAAAACAAAGTCTAAAAAACCTAACGACCCTAATTTTGTCATTTTTAACATAATTTTTTCAACATTTTTTTCCTAGGCTCAAGGACAGAAACCATTAGAAGACTTTTGGAAAGTACAGTTGAAACAGTGAACCTGTATATGCCTGTAATTCACTTTATCAAACTTCAATTTATCAAAATAATAGGTTTGGTAACCAGGCTATCATTGCTACATGAAAAATGCAGATGGCAGTCCCATGGTATGATTCATTCTTCTTCAAGACAAGATAAGTAGTTTAACCTTCTCCCTGCTGCCTAGCCGGTACTAATAGTAATACAACTTTGTGTGAAATAGCTACCATAGCAGGCTGCAAGTTAAGATTGGCTGTGCCGAGAGTAACAAGTTACCTATAGTAAGTAGTGTGTGATTTATGAGAATGTTAGATTTTGTTAACTACATGTGGCTGGTCGGAAATGTCATGATCTGTTCAGCCCTGGTTTCTGTAAACACAAGTCACTCGGAATTAGGAATGTATCTATGATAATGGCACCATGTTGGGAAATCTTCACATTTTTAAGTAAATGGGAGTGATTTCTCCCTATTTTTTATTATCTTCATCAAGAGATATGTTAGTGTGCGTGTGTGTGTGTGTGTGTGTGTGTGTGTGTCTGTAAACACAATACTAGTAGCTCGTGAAGGCTGAAATGAATTGTCTTCATATTAATTTGGTATATTGGAAGGACTTGAGACCTTAAAATGATTTTGGGCCCCTGTATTATTAACATTGTGTTATGGCAACTGAAGTCAGTGTTTTAATTGAATCATTACCATTGACAGGAATAATGGGAATATGAGGCTGTTACAAGCTGATCTTTAAGTTGTGTGTAACAGTTTAATCCTTTACGTCAAAGCGTACCTTGGGGTCCATTTTACAGGGGTGTTTGTTTCTGCTACACTCCATTCTCCGCACACACTTCCCAAACCGCCGGATACACCTGAAGTCATTGGTGTCGCACTTCTGGCACTCCGGCTCAGGGTCGATATATCTGCAGGCTGAACACGACGTGTGCTGGCACTCTCCCTGACATGGCTGCTTGGTGTGGGCCATATCACTACAAAATAACACAGAAACATACATGTACAATGTATAATAACACTGAATTTCTAGTTACATCTGGTATTAAGTTCAAATATACTGGAAGGCCTGAAGAAGGACACCTTTGCCGAAGGCTGCTTGATGTTGGCCATATTACTGTAAAATAGGACAGGTGTCTTTAAATGTCATGTGAAGCTTCACCCTACATACTTTTTGTGGCTTGGGTACTATCTAATAGTCACAGACACCAAACCAGGAATGTACATGTCATCACTGTCAAGCTACATGTACACTTGTATGCTGTACTCTATTCTATGGTTGGAGCATAAGGCTGACAAATGGCATCCCTTGGCAAGCCTGCTTGGTATGGGCTGTGTCACTGCAGAATATGGCAGGAATGGGACGTTAGGAGGATTAAGGTATTACGGGATTACGTGGGGAAAACTGCAGCAAATCTGGGATTTGTGAAACCTCTGCAGGTCACGCATTTCATCCTTCTCCTCTGGGCCATTAGAACAACTAATGGCTTGGTCTCATCAAAGTCTTGCCATGATGAAGCAGACAGTAGTTTTTTCCTTTGCCTGACTCCCTTTGAGTTTGCCCCATTGTGAACATCCAAAGGAGGATGTCCCCCTCTTATCGGTTATCCCTCCATTGTGAATGACTGTACGGTTCACTGTTCTAGGTTCACTGTTCTAGGAGGGCGCCACATCCCATCATCCAGCTCATTTGAGATACAAATTTGCCACCCACAGCCTATAGCAACCCACTGACAACATCCTCCCTAACTAGACCTGACAGGACAATCTGTCTCCTTACAGCTGCGGGATACAATGTGTACACTTTGTGTGACTACTAAGTGTATCAAAGACTGTTCCAGGGTTGGTCTCTGCTGAAGTTACCTTTCCACACCAATTTTGCATTAGTGATTGGGTAAGGCAGTCCATGCAGCTATCAATGGGGGTACAATGTACATTTACCTCATGAATATGACCTCACCCATAGATTTTGTAATTATAGGCTCTTTATAAAATGAGCAGAACTTGTCTACTAGTTTGTTGTCAGACATTTCAGATCTGCTATCTTTCATCAGTGATTGAGAATCCATGTTCTGCCTGGATGCCTATATATGACCTATTGTGAGTGAGTGAGTGAGTGAGTGAGTGAGTGAGTGAGTGAGTGAGTGAGTGAGTGAGTGAGTGAGTGAGTGAGTGAGTGAGTATTATCAATGCATAGGGTATTACTAGTATAGGCATTTACATATAGAGGTTTATAATGTTTGTTTCCTTTGATCAAACACCATGAAGACCTTTACAACAAACCTTGAAATAACAATAACATTGGGAAGATTAGGAAAAGTAAGATTAGGCCACTCCGTGAACAAGATGGACTGATAGCCATCGAAAATTTGGAGGTTAGTATCCTTATCCTTCCAAAGTTGTCACTGATGAAAGAATTCACTAGGAACTGTATCTATACGTGAC